GTGGTGTTGGTGGTGGTGTTGGTGGTGGTGTTGGTGGTGGTGTTGGTGGTGTTGGTGGAGGTGGTGGTGATGGTGGAGGTGGTGGTGCAGTATATGGTTGAGCGATATGGAATATTAAGTGTGAGTGTGTGTGGGTAGGTGGGAGAGCGTGCCGGACAACTCTTATCTGTCGCAGAGGGAGTGATCATTCAAAACGCGTTAACGTACGAAATTCAGTTTGAAACGCCTCGAAGAATCTCCTCGGCAAACACACTCGCCAAGCCACTGCGCTGGTGCAGCTGGTTCCGCACTCACCTCCAGAGGCATCCAGGCGCCTCCGAATTTCCGGGAACTCCTTGTCGAGCGCGCGCACCACTGAAACACAAATTTAATTTTTAAAAACTTTTTTATTGTTTTTCTTTTTTGTTTTTGTTTTTATTAATTTGTTGTTTTTTATTTTTATTGTTTTTATTTATTTCTTGTTTTTATTTTTTGTTTTTATTTTATTTTTTATTTTTATTTTTTTCCTTTTTTCTGCGCCTAAAAAATTGTAAGCCTATGTAACCTAATATGTTTAGATGTTACATTCAAAGCTGTAGCAACAAATAGAGTTATATTATTTAATAATTTCCTAATCAAAGGTATCTAGTCACTAACATGCTAATTATGAATTGTAATCTGCACTACTGTATGTGATTTGTCTTAATATTGTTGTCAGCATGGATGAAACCATACCACTGAACATTGGAGATCTCGATTTACGTAGGAGTTGCGTTACATTCCCAGTCCTCCGTTATTTCCTTCGTTTGTCAATTCTATTAATAAGCTGTTTTGTTTCGTGTTCTGAATTATTTCAGAACTTAGAATTTCATAAACCACGAGTCTATTTATTAATGATTTTCTTTACGTAAGGAAAAGAAAAGTTAGATTTAATTGTAAAGACTTTAAAACATTTTCAAATTACCGTCAGTGTTTGTAAGATATTTTTATTTCTACTATCAACTAACGTGACAGAAGGAATATTTAGTTACATGTGAGAAGGAGCATACTTATGGAAGTTGCGAATTTAACAGAGACAGATTATGACACTTCAAAACCAAAGCACTCAATTTTTTAAAATTTATTTCTGCCAAGTCTCAGCCACTCGGTACGAATATGTTCTTTCATAATTGTTTCAGTCAATGAAAATAATGTCAAAATGAGAATTTTCCCAATACTGAAACGAGACTAGAATTTGCGGTTAAACGAAAAAGATTCAAGAAGCATTTCGAGAGCCGTTCGTCAGCCGAAGGACAAAACAACTAAGAATCAAGAGAGG